TCTATAGTAAAGGTGCAAAAACAACGATGTATGGCATTCGCAAAGCGTCCATCTATAGCATAAAAGGCTAATTTGCATGTCGCAAATCATGGAAATAACTAAAAAGATCGTGGGGTACTTCAGACCTGAAATTTTGTTTTTTTGTCCCAAGGACGCAGTAATGTACACAAAACCTCGAGCTCCTCTGCACACGGCAAATGGGACTTTGCAGTGCCCATCAAAACAATGATTAGTGCATCCTTAGTGGTCAAAATTCGATCGATCGTTCGGTCGTTGTTAACAAAGAGCCGTTTGAAACTATTTGCCTCACGCTCTGTCTCACCGCTTTGCTTTCAAACCTTGTTTTACTCTCTCGGTACCGTGCTTAAGGGGTTATATACCTTTTTGAGCGAAAAAATTGAGGGAACTTTCGATTTTTTTTCAGGTGTGTAGCAATTATTTTATGACACTGAAGTTATTATTTATTGGTAGTACATGTTTTTATCGAAACAACAAGCGTTTGTTCTTGAAAAAATATAAATAATTTACGAAGTTATGGCGATTCTCTCGGAACCCTTTTTTTTATAGCGGTTTGCGGTGACCACGATGGAAGTCCAGCAGGTCAACGGAAATAAAAAAACCAAAAAATTTTTATTAGTATAGTATTATTTCCAGTTCGTGAACGATTATTTTCAAGAATATTTGGTTTTTTCTGCATACAGTAACGATTTTTCCAAAAAGTTGATTTTTCGAGTTCTAAAAATTTTATTAAAAAATTCTGATCTGCAAAATCAAAATTGGCGCATAGAAACTGAATCATTCACGAACTCGGCACAATCATTACGAATAATTTAAAAAAAATGAAGAAGATCGATCAAATAGTTCTTGTGCAATCGCGGTCACAGCAAAGGTACTTTTGGAAAAACACGACTTTGAGATAATCGCATTCAAAGTTTTACGTTGAGTATATGCAACTATTGAAGTCGCGCCTCAAAGCGCTGTTTTCCTATCGAACTATTATTCGGATCTCTATGAAAATTTGGGAAATACTTTAGGATTCAGCAAAAAAAATTTTTTCGTTTTTTTGAAAAAATAAAGTTATATAACGCCTTAATGTAACATAAGTCAAAGGCTTTTTGGAACCAAGAACCTGAATAAAGTTTTCCGAAGGTTTTTGATGCGCTAAACCCGAATCCGACCTCTGAAAATTTCTTATACGTCAGGTTTTTGAGATATTCCAATATAAAAGTGAAAAAACGTTGCCCATTTTAAATATATTTTCATATAATCTGAGATATGGCTATAGATCTATGAACATCTTTATCAGCTATGTACAAATGTACATAGGTATGTATATTCTCTATTTAGATTTTATTCACTGAAATGTCTGCCATTTAAGCTCCCCTTTAGGTTTAAATGTAGACCCCATTGAATATGCTTCTGGGTATACCTTGAATACGCCTCTGCGCCAGTACATACATATCTATGTACATCCATACATACATTGTCGAATGTCGTTGAAATAATTTTGGAAAACGGTAAAAGGAAGGTGGAATGGCATATGTACATACAAATGGATGTACATACATGATATTCACAAATACGTTCATACATATAAACCCATGCTCTCATTTTAATGAGTATGCGTGTATGTGTAAGTTACTAGCGTTCCGTAATTCTCCAACCGTAACGCAATGCTGCAAAATACAATGGGAAATAGAGTTTTGACGGAGACAATTGGCTGCTGAGACACACGAGCGTAACGTAGCGATAAACACAACCACCACTTGCGAGACATCGCTGCCGCTGCAGAAAAAGGGGCGGAGCTAGAACGTTTATATATAATTGTGTTGGTTGGACAATGCCCTTTCTTCCCATCATCGATTTCCGGAAGAAACAAAAAGGTTTTTGTTTCCTTCAGTATCTCTAGCTGGCGAGAAGGAGACAGCGAAACTGCAGTCGAAGAGCGAAAGAAAAACCAATGCCAGAGAGTAAGGTGAAAATATACATACATACGTTGCGAGAGCGAGACACTACCTCGTAATTCGTTAAACAATATGTATGCGAGCGAGGTGAGAACAATAAAATCCACGCCCACACACTTTTACGTCACTTGTGCCAACAACCAACCGCTCAGCGTCGAGCTTATGAGTTCACAGGGTGGAAAGAGAGAGCCGAGAGAAAGTCACGCAAAAGAGAATCGGGAAAACTGAAAACAGCTTCTCGTGCTGACGCCAGCTTTGCTCCAGCATCAGTTGCTCGCGATGCCTCGACGGGAAATGGCAAATGAAAATTCTACAACGGAAATAAGAAATTTCTGCTAAACGTTAAACTTCTTTTTAATTCTCTCATTAATTGAATTTGAAAAACAAAACAAAAGTGAAATGTTAAGCCCTTAACTGTACATGTATGTATGTATAAGTACACTTCACTCCGAACTACCTAATTCAGGGGCGTGGCGATGGGCGATTGGATAGCTCAATTGAAATAATTGGTTGCGCAAGAGAGAAAGCCGCCTTTTAGAAGAGAACCAAAAAATTCCCTTAGTGAGTTGAGGGCAAATGTAAATGCATACGTTAGTCCAGTGCATGTGAACTGTAAAAGGCGGTTTCGCCTCTGTTAAGAACGGTACTGCTATGGCAATCTTTCTTTAAGAGAGAGGTGACCATGGTTATCGTCGCCAAGAATGATGATAAGATCTTATCTATGTAGTTGCATCGTGGACCATGGACACCCGCTTGGGAGAGTTTTTATTCGCTCCAAAGAGTTTGCTTAAGTTACAGTTACGGATACCGATACGGATACGGATACGGATACGGGATACACGCGATTTGTCCATTGTCTCATCGCACTTCGTTGGCTCTCTGGCCAATCAGGCGCAGTGACTGATTTTCTGGGGCCACATCCCCCTTATGTTTAACATTTTGTGCTGGCAGCAAGATTGACTTACTTGTGTAATGGCGCAACATACATATGTATATGGTATATATATATATGTATGTATTCACTAAGATATATGTATATAAATATATATGTACCTTGTTTGTGGGAGTGAACGAAAACTTAACCTTTGAAATCAAGAAATTCTGTAAAAAACGTTTTTTGTATTACATTGTTAGCACTGCTAGAAGCTAATGATAACAGAACTACCGTGTCTACAATATACAATTAGCAGTTAAAATAGCAGTAAAACGTGTCGAACGGTGTTTTGGTACTACTGTGGTAAGCCCGGCATTATCTTTTAATTGAAATAAAAATAAATGAAAGTGCAAATAAAATTTTATTTTTAATTGAATTTGCTTTTTCATAATCTAGGTCCTTTAGGTCGTATTTTAGACTTTAAAACGAGCTTGAATGACACATAGTAGCGTACTTTCTTATTTTACTTTGCAAATCTGTATAATTCTTTTGAACCAAATTCGATAGTCAAATAACTTAAACCACATTAAATGTAAGGTAATTGTTATAAAATTAATATATGCATTGCACAAAGTGCCACGCCTGCCCATTCGCCTTTTTATAGGGTATCAAACGGGTCAGATAATGCAGTCAATATGTTGAATAGGCTTTCATTTCCAGTTGAAATTGATTTACTTCTAGGTATATTCTGGTAGTTTTCGGCAGCCGCTATTATTAGTGTAGTTGTTGGCTTTCATCGGCTTCAGCTTCTTGATTAATTTAGTCAGAGCAAAGTAAAAATAAGAAAGGAAGCTAAATTAGGCACACCGTAGTTTGTATACCCTTGCCGCTTTCAATTTGATCAATTTTCATACATTTTTTATATGTACCGACTTAAAATTACGTTTTACATTCACAACTTTAGATTTTTCTCCACACATCCCGATCGTTCCTACGATACTATACGATATAATCGTCCGATTTTCATAATATTAATACTGAAATTCTGAAATAATACAAAATGACCATTCTGGTTAGTTGAGTCAAGAAATATGCAATATTCAAGATTTTTTTTGACAAAGAATAAGACAGGTGCTTAAAACTCTTAAGGTATATTTCTGATATAATACCCTTTCAGGGTATTCTAATTTCAGTCAGTTTACCTCAGGTTTAAAGCTAGCTGAATGAAACTTTGCTATAGTCTTCTATATACTATCACTGCTATATATGTCGGAACGGGCCGGATCGGACGACTATATCATATAGCTGCCATAAAAATGTTTCATACATTCATACAAAAAAATTATAATTTGGCTGTTTTTTCAAAATTTTTGCATAATTTTTGAGACATGGCCGACTTATATTATTTCAAATTTGAAGTTTAAATTTTATGTAAATCGGACGACTATATCATTTAGCTGCCAAAGGAACGATCGAGAAATTAAGAGAAAAAAAATTAAAGCTTCGTTGTTTTTCAACGTATTTACATCTACTCTGAGATATGAGCTTTTTTTATTTTTCTAGAATTATGGTATAAATTTCATAAAAAGCGGAGAACTATATCATATAGCTGCCATAGAAGCGATCGGCGGATGTAGAGAAAATGTAAAGCTGGGAATGCAAAATTGTAACTGTCAAACTGAAAACATAATAAGTATAGGTAAAATGCGATGAAGTAATATTAGCAAGGGTATACAAACTTCGGCGTGCCGAATCTTTGCTTAAAGATGATTTAAAAAAATTGTATGCATTTCCGGATGCAGAACACAGGGCGCAATAGGCTAATGCACGAAACAGGAACCCCACTGGCAACTCTTCCAGAGGTCGAAAAAATCGTCTGATCTAGAACGACTAGATCGACTCGGCTGTTAATTAACTTTCAACCAATACATATTCTATTATAAAATTTTATTTTAAAGATTACATTTACTGATGTTTTTTTATGTTATATAATATAGTAGGACGGTTTTTAAAAAATTCTAAAATTGTTATATCTCAAAATAGATGAATTAAAAAAAAACATCGAAATCCAGTTTTTTCCATATATTTTTCTGAACTTTTCTCTGGCAGCTACATACATATATTCTCATTTAATGCATATTACTCTTTTATTTTCCTTATAGTCCCATTACGACGGCATGACAGACATTGAACAGCAACAACATTTACAAAATGTCCAAAGGTTACAGCATGAAAGTTGTTTTCAGGAGTTGCATAACCAGCTAAGCAATCAGTTTGGAGCGTCGGTTCGACTCCCAGCACCACCTCCCCATCAACATCAGGCTGGAGTTACTGCCGTGTCTTCCGGTAACTTGGTACCATTCCTTCCCGCCTTCTTGCAGCCACAACCAATACCTAGCCAAGCACAACAACAGCTGCTGCAGTTAATTCCGTCGGGACCTGGTCACACGCATTATGATCACCTGAGCGGACACAAAATAACCTCCATGACACCAACAATGTGGTCCACAGCAGCGGTGGCGGCGGCGGCTCATATACAGGCTGCTCTCGCGGCTGCAGCCGTTGCTGCGGCTTCGAATAATAATAACAAAAATATTACAAAAACTAATACTAATATTAATAATAATGAGCCAGCGGCAACAACCATTGATCTCGAGGGTGGAGGAGGAAACGATGGAAAACGAAGAGGTGGCAATGGTAATGGTTCATCGTCGTCCGCTATGTCAAGACCAGAATCGCCACAATATGAGAATCATCCGTATGCCATATCCATCTCCTACAGTCACAACACACCGCCCGAGTCACCTACGAACAATCGAGCTATCGAGTGTTCCAAGGTGCACAATCTCTGCGAATCAGAGTCTGAAATGATGGAGGCACCACTGAATCTAACTAAACCAAAGGGGTCACCATGCTCTTCGCCGACAAGTTGCCATCACCACAAGGAACATAGTCACCATCATCACTGTGAAAGTCTGCCAACAACAGCCTGCCTTGTGTCTAGTCCGCCATTAAGCTGGCAATCCCAAGGGCCAGGACATCATTTTAACGAGATCGAATCGTCTCTGATCAAAAGTCATGTATGTATTATCTCAAAATTACTTAAAAACCTTCCCTCAACGCTTATAGCCCAATTACATTGCTACATATTATCACATATTGAATATGTACGTGATTCCACAGAAACATCGACAATAATCGGCGACATGTGTTTGAGCTGATCCGGCTTTGTTTACATTTAAATGGGGGGCAATTTGCACATGATTTTTGATATTCTGAAGGTTGCGGAATTACTCCTCCACCTGCTTTTTGCGCTTGCGTCAGCCCGTCTCTCTAGCTCTCTGCTCTTTCACTCGCCTTCCTTTGCAAGTTCGTCCGCGGTTTCGTTACCGTATATGCCTTGGTGGCTGGGAACCCAGTAAATCCTTACTGACTTAGTCGTGCTCAAGCTATCTAGTTATTCCCTGTTTGCCAGTACATTTTTGGAACTGCCTGACTGTCTCCGAACAAATTGACCGCCTCATGTGGACGGTTTATGCTCCGCGCAAGCTATGCTGCTTTCCTGATGGCTAATACTTCCGCCTGGAATATACTGCAATGGCTTGGTAGCTTATACGACAGCCTCATTTCAGGGTCTGAACAGTATATGCCCGCTCTTACCCCTTCATCCATCTATTGAGCATGGTCCTGAGTTCCAGCACTAACCTTACAACATACAGACTACTCATTTCATACAACGAAAATGGACACCAAAATTTCTTAGCGACAGGCCCCAGAGCTGTTCGCGACGGGCGCCGAGCTTCGTGTGCGCTCGTTTTTTTTCGCTCTCTCGTTCTTATGCTCGCACACTGATTGCGAGAGTTCAGTCGCAGAGTGAGAAGGTTGCTCTGCGCTTGAACACTTCTTTATATGTATGCGTGTTCATGCATTCACGTACACGGGTGTATGTGTGCGATCATTTCATTTCTTTTGCTACTTTTCATACAAGGTACCCTAACAATATGGGCATATTCACTATTGGGTTAATGATAGAAATAAGAATGTTATTAATGTTAATTATAACATATAAAGAAGAGTTCAAGCGCAGAGCAACCTTCTCAAGATGCGCCACTCTGTGATTGAACTCTCGCAATCAGTGTGCAAGCATAAGAATGAGAGAACAGCCCTGGTTCCTGTCGCTAAGAAATTGTTGTGTCCATTTTCGTTGTATGAAATGAGTAGTCAATATGTTGTATGGTTAGTGATTCCAGTCATTTGGTCCCATGAATACCGTTGTGTTTACATCCGCGCACGTTCTTGCTATCATGTAGTTAGATGTATTGCTCATGTCTCGACCAATTGAAATGTGCCCGAATTCTTGTAGCGACAAGTTTCCTGATGCAACCAGACGTTGTGCCGCCTTTCCTGCTGTCAGTTGCATTTTGATATCTAGGGGATATATACCGATTATGGTTTCGAGTGCTTTGGTGAGGGTTGACCTCAACGCCCCTGATATCCAGAGCAGTGCTTGTCGCAGGGTTCTCTCCATAAGCTTATTATACGTTTTCTTCTCCATTGCTTGCCACCACACTAAGACTCCATACAGCAGAGTCGGACGCACCACCGATATGTAGACCAAATGCATTTGAGCGGGTGAGAGGCCCCATGTGCTGCATGTTCCATGTTCTTCGATGCGTATAGCGCTATGGTGGCCTTTTTCATCTACATTGGCCTTCCACGTCAGCTTGCAATGCCCAAGTATTTGACTTGTGTTTTCGGGGTCAGCTTGGTTTTGTTAATTTTTGGGGGGATCCATTGCGCCACCTTATATCTCTTGGTAAAGAGAAAAAGGTCCGTCTTATCCGCATCGATATTGAATCTTACCTTCTCCCTGAGCGAACTTTCTATGATTAAGCTGAGGGTCGATGCCCAGAATCCCGTGATAATAATGCTTATGTCATCCGCAAAAGCTGTTATCTTTGGTGCTTTCCTCTCGAATCTTTTGATTAGATCGTCTACCACTAGATTCCATAGGAGGGGCGATAGGACCCCACCTTGCGGCGTGCCTCTGTGCGCTTCTCTCACCATGGAAGCGGTGCCCCAATCTGATTGTACCCGCCGGCAACTTAGAAGATTTCTTATCCACAAGTTGATAGCGGGGGACGTGTTGGTCGCTTCTAGGCGATCCATTATAGCGTCCGTGCTAATGTTGTTGAATGTCCCGGATATGTCCACGAACACTACAAGTGCATATTCCTTATTGTGTAGGGCTCTCTCAATGCTGGCTACCAACGAATGCAGTGCCGTCTCCACTGATTTCCCCTTCATGTAGGCATGCTGGTTGGTCGACCGTAGTGTTCCTACATCGTTCCTGATGTATAAGTCCAGCAGCTTATCCAGCGTTTTAAGTAGAATGAAGCTTATCGGTCTGTAATCCTTGGGGCTCACATGGTTGCACTGTCCTGCTTTGGGCAGGAAAACAATCCGAGAGGTCCTCCATTGGATAGGGATATAGCCCGTGCTTAAACAAGCTGTATATATTGCGTAGAGCCATGGGTGATCACTACCTTGGTCACCTGCAGCATGGCTGGGAATATTCCATCTAGTCCTGGTGCTTTTATCCTCGCAAAGGAGTCTATAGCCCAGTGGATTCTACTAGAGGATATTAGATCTTTTGGAAGATGCTCTTCTTCAGTTGCTAGGTCCTGGTGCTTATTCGCATCGGGTACCTCAGTGCATCCTGGGAAATGCACATGCATTAGTGCTTTTAGGGCCTCTTCGCTGCCCTCAGTCCACTGTCCGTCGTCGCGTTTGAGCTGACTCTATATTGTTGGCTGCTTCGATAGCAGCTTCCGGAGTCTAGCCGTTTCCGGGGCAGTCTCTATATTGGAGCAGAAGTTTTTCCATGAGTTTCTCTGCGACTTGTGTATTTTCTTCTTGTAGTCCCTTAGTAGGACTTTGTATTCCTCATTGGTGATATCATCTTTCGCCTGCTTGTCGATTTTAAAGAATTCTTTGAGTTTGTTGCGTCGGAGTGAAAGGTCCTTATTCCACCAGGGTAGCCTGGTCCTCTTTCTCGTGTCCGATATAGGGCATGATGCGTGGTACGCATCTAGCACTTCTTCGGACAGGGTCTCTAGGGACTTGTCTATGTCTTCCGCGGACTCTAATATACCCCGAGAGGTCGGGAGCCGTGTCGCGATAGTCTCCTTGAACTTTCCCCAGTTAGTATTCCGAGGGTTCCTAAAGACTGATTATTTTGGAGAGTGTTCGAATGCGTATTGGAACCGTATGTATTTATGATCTGATTAGGATGGTTTCTCAAGGACTCTCCATTCTGATACCAAAGTACCTTGTCCCCTTACAATTGTAAGATCTAGCACGTTTGAGGAGGTGGGACCTACAAAGGTGTGTACGAAGGGTTGACTACTATGGTCGGACTCATCCAGCGTCATTCCCTGGGCGGCATCCACGATGGTTTACAGACCTAGGTCTTTCTCCACCACGCCTGCCTTCAGGGTGTGAGTATCCCCGGGATGGCGCTTTTTGAGGGGCAGGTATACGCTACCCATGCCCCACGCCATCTTCCCGCATCTTGGATAGAGGATGTCCTCTGCTCACTTGTTTATCTGAAGGACTGCACTTTGCCGCCCCTCCTTGGGTGATGGGGTCGCAACGTGCAGAACCTTCCAGTCCGCGATTGGTATATCTGGATTCTGTGGCTGCTACAGGTTCAGCGCCCGCTTGGATTGGATTGGATTGGATTTCGATGGGGAAGAATACCTTCGCCCGGTTCACCACCTCCATCTTGGCCCCCTCCCTCAGCGCCTCCAACTGGCAGACCGCTTGCGTTACTCACTTTCTCGTCGTGTCATTCAAGCACTCAGGATTTTGATCCCATTTAGCCAGCCAGCACCATCAAAGGTGGGCATGAGAGCTTCGGGATCTTCCTCCATCCGTGCAATGACTCAACGAGCCGCGCATGCACCATCTTCTACCGCGCCTTGGCCACCTTGCCGGCTTCATCGCTTCTGTTAATGAGGGCCACGATCAAGTGTCGTTTGGTCACCTCACTGATTTTGCGGTTTTTTTGTGCTTTTCCGCCATTTGGGAAGGGCCTGCCTCCTTAGGCCCGCGTTGCCGCTTGCTCTCCGCTGCGCCCATAGAGGCGCTTTCGGCTGAGCGTTGCCTTTTGTTGGCAAGCGTCTCCTCCACCTTGTTGGCGAATCCGCCAGTCGATCTCATGGGGGGGAGTTTGGCGAAGTGAACCCTCCCCTGAGCGATCTTCTCCTCGGCCCATGTAAACTTTACCTTATCCTCTGGGGATAGGGCGCTTTTTTTCTGGAGCCGATTCTGGATGCGGGGGGCAGCCTTGTACTGCGCCTTGGCCTTTATTCCCTCGCTTGATCGCTTTGGCTCGTCCCTGCGCTGGGAGCTGGTTTCGACGAGTGGAGAAGGCTTTCTTCCTTCTCTTTGGAGGCTGCACGCTCTCAAGGTCTGAGTCTGTAAAGACTCTGGCATGTTAGCGGCTTGACTTCCCATGCGTTGTTTTTTCGGCAGTAGCGTTGCAACTGACAGGACCTGCTCCCGTCACATCAGAGGTGTAACTGCTGGCGACACGCAGAGAGGATTGCTCCTCCCCCCCCCTTGCCCGCCAGTGGTAGCGGTCTTCACCGACGTTTGGGCTGACATCCCAGCCTCGGTTTCTTTCTTTAAACCCTTCAGATTGTTTTATTTTTCAGGGATAACACACACTTGCGTTTTTTGCCTGCCGCTAGGCACCTCCAGCCATGCCCGAAAGTTATACAATATCCCAAATGTTATACAATAATTTTGAAGTAGGTTTTATTTAAAAAGTAGTAAGTGGTAACATTTTGGGGCAGCAATATACAGGAAAACACCAACGAGTTTTTTGGCATGCTTACAGCTTTGGCGCCACATTTTAAATTCCATATATCAATTGATCCTTGCCATATTTGTTTACATTTTCGTAGAGATTGGTCAAATTTTTACTGTCAAGAAGAATAAATCGCCGAGCAAACGAAATTGCTGCACTTCCCTAACGTAAAAGGTAAAGTGTTAAGTCAATAAAATGTCTTTAAATATTTTCTTTTCTTTTTTATTTAAAAAAATATGAAGTTTTTACTAGTCTAATAAATAATGAAGTTTTTATTAGACTATTAAAAACTTCATTACTTTTTAAATAACAAAAAATAGCATGTGTGAACATTTGACCATGTTAAAAATATCAGCTTACATGATTGCTATGAGGCCTTCCGCAAGGTGAAAAGGGTTTAAAGACATTTTTTTGAGTTTTTGTAAAACTTAAGATATGTTGGCACTCTCAATTTAAAGGCATTAATCTATGTCTCCTAGGCGCAAGAAAACCGCAATTGCACCATCTAGGCGGATCCCAACCACCAGCGGCGGGCTCTCAAAAGCAGCTTCCCTCCGCACAGCCCTCGAAATCAGGACAAATTCCTAGAATCCTGAAATCGAGTGCTAAAAAAGATTCGGAATCCGTTTCATTCCCTGGGGGGTCCCAAATAATGACCGCTCAGAGTCCCAGTCATGTTCCTGGCCAGGGTGTCAGACCCGGACTACCGGGCGAAATTGGCATACTGCCTTGCCAAAAGTACCAGTACCACCTATGAAACAGATATTTGTTTCGCGGCTCTTCCCTGCTCAAGCATCGGAAGATGTGGGAAAGATCAAATTTTCATCCTTTCAAATAATTCTTTGACCAGTTCTGGTCAGCCTATGTTGTGGTCAAGGAGGCTAGAAAAAAGAATAAACGGACAGTAGGACTTTGTCTTCTTAGACCCAATTTAACCACGGCACCCTCTTCCTCCTCGATTTTTGACCCAAAAAACTAACCATCTCCCTTGGTATCTCCTATCAGGGGCTTATGTATTAAGTCGACTCCTTCTGGCATCCTTTTCTATTTATTTCCCTCGCGCCTACTAATACCTAACACAAACAACCACTTGTATGTACTGTCCATAGTGCATTATCGTCCAAATAAATAAAACAATGCATTACATAAATATCCATGAAAGGTTAGTCTTAATATTATTTATTTATTTTGTGCAACTCTTTTCAGGGCCGAGGAGGTTGGAATACTGCTGTTGGTGGATCACGGGCAATGCGGTTAAGCCGAGACTCTATTAATAGTTGTGGCACAAATTCCGAAAGATCAACAGCTCTAGATCCCGAAAATGTGGTCCTTGGACAACCTATAGCTCCGCCGCCACTGCCACCGTCGACTTCTTCATCACTGCCACTGAGGCAGGGCAGTAATGGACATGGTCACGGGCATAGTCATGGACATAGTAAGCCACATATTAAACGACCGATGAATGCGTTTATGGTTTGGGCCAAAGATGAGAGACGAAAGATATTGAAAGCATGTCCAGACATGCATAACTCAAATATATCGAAGATTTTGGGTGCTCGTTGGAAAGCCATGTCAAATGCCGATAAGCAACCATATTACGAAGAGCAATCCCGCCTCTCAAAGCTTCATATGGAACAGCATCCCGACTATCGTTATCGCCCGCGCCCCAAGCGAACCTGTATTGTTGATGGAAAAAAAATGCGCATATCGGAATATAAGGTCTTAATGCGTAATCGACGGGCCGAGATGAGGCAACTCTGGTGCCGAACGGGCAGCGTTGGAGGAGATTCAGGTGCAGGAAATGCCTGTGCTGATCCCGGAGAGGGAGGACCAGGACCCAATGTACACGCAGCGGCTGCTGTTGCTGCCGTAGCCGCATATCATTTGCAGGATGTGGGCCACGCCATAGCACCTTCTTCTCAACAACTTTTTTATCCACCGGAAAGCTTATCACCTTCAGGCTTTTCGTCCTCCGATGACGCCGAGTTGGCGTCCACACAGCGTGAACTATTGGACGATTAAAACAACTAAGAATATACAAATATTAAGCAAAGCTTGAACATGCGCCAACAAGAAAGTAAGCCAACTTCGAGAAGCCAAAGTTTTTATACCCTTGCACTTCATAGTTTTTTTTAAATATCGTAATTTTGGAATCATATTATGATATATATATTAAGAGATACTACAAAAAAATAAGATTATAAATTAATTATTATTATTATTCTCTATACGACTGAAAACCCAATCCCAGAAATAGTTTTACCTTTTCTATTCTTCTAAATATATTATTTTTTAATAATCGTATAGGGATTCCCGTGGATATATTCAGCGAAATTTTGGGATTGCTAAAGGATTAAATCTTTCAAAAGTGCAGATGCCAATACTTTAGTTGATTTTTTGTTTGTTTTCTTTTTTTAACTATTTTTTGGATCGGTAATATAGAATCTCCTACATGTATAAAAATCGTTGGTACCAATACTGATCGATGTGTTTCGAAAATCACGATAATATCGATATAAATAATTTTTTGTTAATTAGTTATATTATATGACTTTGTAATTATAAAACGATTAAGATTAAGTTAAGAGATTTAAGATTAGAATTAAGTTAGGAAAAATAAAATATAAATAATAGGGTTTTTCTTATTAAAAATTAAACTTATAAATTTCTGATGAATGGAATCTTTACATATTAAGCGATAGAATTTGTATAGTATCGATAGTATCCCTCACTAGAATTGTTTTTCACCTCTAGGTAGACGGCTACTAGAGGTCAGGACTAAATGTGGAAAAAAAATCGAATAATAAATCGATTTAAATCAAAAACGAAAGGACTTATAATTTAATAGTTCTTTACATTTATCCATCGATGTTTATAGATAAATATGAGCTTTTTGGTTTTCTTTATCTTTCATAAGACATCGGAAAATCGAAAAATCGATTTTATTTCCAGCTCTAGTCATGGTCGTATGACACAGTAATGCAGTTTTTATTTAATGTCTCTTCATTAGATCCTTGAAGGGGACAACTATATGTTATTTTTCTTACATATTTTTTGCAATCTGACCATGGTCACACCGATCGAAAAAGGAAATAATAAAAAATGCCACAGTTCTCAGCATATAAATTAATTTTGCAACGCAGAAAGCTCGTCACCGAAAACAATTTTATTATTATTATATTTATATTCTAAAAAATGTTTAGTTTATGAAACCAGCAAAAATTAAATTCTCATTACGTGACCGTTTTTACTTTTTGATTTTTCAATTACAATTTTTGTCATTATGGCAGTATGCATTGCCAATGCAACTTGCATTAGAAGTATCATATAGTCGTCTTAATCGCAATTGTGTATAACGCTATTGAGCTGTCATATCTTTAATAAAATCTCTAATTAATACGGTAGTGTTATAACACTATCAGGACCGTGGGGTCACCATTACTTTTATATATTTTAGATGGTACTATCGATACTATAAAATATAAATATTAGGGGTTTAAAAGTCAAAATATTAATGTTAGGGAACATTCAAAACATGTTTAGTTTAAGAACGGTTTATTTATTTTTTATTTGCAATCTTTTATTAAACATAAACTTTTACGTTTTCCGTCTTTCTTAAATAAATCCAATTTCCATTTAATGATACGGTTGGAAAAAAGTAAAAAAAAACATATTTTCGATTGTGTCGTCCCTTGACGACTTAATTAGCCAATATGACCCAAAACAAACAAAATCTCAGTTGCAAGACAAGGATATACATTTTGTATTTTTCACAAAATTTATTTATTTTAAGATAATGGACCTTTAATTAAGCTAAAAAAGATTTAATTTATAAGAACTAATTAGTCTCACTGACTTTTTAGTCATTTAGTCAATGTTTCCAACGACCTCAGAGTCGCAGAATGACTAAAAATATCTTCTAAACCATTGGTATGGGAACAACTGTTTTCAATGGCCGATATTTTCAGCCATTCAATAGTCAAGAGAATACCCTAATCGAAAGGGCCGCGAAAACCTGTACGATAGTATCGATACCATCGAATTTTTTAAATCAACTTCAGAACATCATTATGATTCCCTGCAAGGGTATAAAAACATCTTCCCCCTTTGGAGTAACGGTTGAATGTCCTACGTTGAGGATTTTTGGTTTACGATCTTCGATACCAACGTGAGCGATGCGATTTGGTTAAGCAAATTGACTTATATTTTATTCTATGCAAATAACCAGAATAAGACGAAAACACTATCCATGTGGAGAAGAATAAGAATAAAAATAATCTAATTCATCAGCTTTTGTAAATATAATAACAATGATTTCGATATTTAAGTTTCAGTTCAAGTGCCATTACTTATATATATGTATGTATATATAGTATATATAGTAAATTTGTGACAAACCATATACTTGCAATTTTTGTGCCATTTTATATATGCACCAAAAATGCTGTTAGCCATAGAAAAAAATAAAAAATACTATAATATCCCAATTTATGTAATACAGAAAATATTAGATAGCTAGTTTATAATCGTTTATTATTTGCAAAATATATGAGGAATAAAACCTAAATAGATTTTTTAATTTAAAAATTTATTTTGTCCAAAATTCTTTTAAATGCAATACAAAAAATGTATTTTAAATAGAAATATATATCCAAGTTTGGGTATAAAATTTATATAAAATAGGTAGGTAAATAATTTATTAATTTGCAATCTTATTTTCTCGTATATACAATAAATAAACATACGTTTAACAAAATCTTGTGCATATGTACTTATTTACATTAAGACCAGGGTTTGCCTAGCAGCAAAATTTATAAAAATATTGATATGCTAATGCTACCGCTCTCACTTTGACGAAAGCCGAAGCAGAAGATCGGCTTTACAATTTAAAAAATTAAAAGCTGTAGGAAAAAATTGAGAGCTGTGTAGCCGTAGCAAGAGCGAGACAGGAGCAGAGCAAAAGGAAACAGAAAACAGAAAAACAAAACGCAAGAGGACAGAAAGAGATTGAAACAGGGTCATATGACAAAATTCCTTTTCGTCTTGCTTCGGACTTACAGTCCATAGAGCTTATTTTACGTTTTATGTAGTTATAGGGTCTTCCCACACACCGTCAAAGCGCATCCACCGTCCGTTAAACAAACGGTCCATAAGGTTTTGCCGTTCCGAATTTTCTCAAATGGACCGGCATCAAAGCGCATCTAAATCTAATGACCGTTTGTTTGGCGATAGTTTGGCGATAGTTTTTCGGTGCAACTCTGATTTCTTCTTCTTAAAGCCTAGTACTCTGACGAGAAAAATCCACTGTATAAATTTAGACAGCGACCAAACTCCATATAAAAAAACGGTGTCGAAAAAAGAAGAAGAAGAACTTTTAGCCACGTCGTTTTTTCCGGTACTCTGACGACGAAAATGAAACCTGCGAAAATTGAATGGCGTTGCCAGATCAAGATAGTAAACAGCTGATATCGCGCTGTCTAAATAATTCATTTGATTTATTTAGACACCCCTAATGGAGGGAAAGTTGAAGGAAAAAGGTGGCATTGATAGGGGCTGTCAAGGGGAAGCCCATAATATGGAATTTGACCCACAAAGGACATTTTAATCCCATATTTATTAATATTTTTAATATTTTTTTTAATATTTGTTTACAAACAGCTGTCCAGTGTGACCAAAGAAAATCCTTAAACGCCATAAAAAGTACATTTTCATGGCATTTCAGGATTTTCCTTAATTTTTGTTGGTCACACTAGCTCGGTAGCGAAATAAACAGCGATTCCGCTGTCTAATTTAGACAGCGGGTTTTTCTCGTCAGAGTACTAGGCTTAACAGTGAAAATTTGACCAACACTACGAAAATGTAAAAAAATTTGGCGAGGAACAAATGAAATATGGAATTTAAAATGTGGCGCCAAAGCTACAAACATGCCCAAAATAGTTGTTGGCGTTTCTTTTGTATATTCTTGTGAGGAACGGTTGGAATTTTTAAAAAAAGTGAAACTCGTGTTCCCACAGAGCTGCGTTAAAGTGCATCCGCATTCAATAACAGCTGATCGATCAGCTGTGGCTCGTGAAAACGTAAACAAAGATGGCTGAAGCGGCCGATGTGGAAGTGAAGTATTTTATTAACTAAGCCTGTTTAACAACAGCAAACCACAGATTGCGTCAGATTTTATAGACACAACATTTAAATGAATTAAATGACAAGGAATTTGAGGTTCTCTAATGATTTTTTTAAAATGGTTCCGTTGCCTGGTTCAGCAACTGGTTTTGTGCAGGTTCACAGCTGGCTCCATTTTCATAGTTCGCTCCTCTGTTATAAACCCTCCCACACCACCCACTGTTATGCGATTTTCTAAATCACTGACGATTCAGCCTAGTACTGTCCGCTGTCACAATTATAATAGCAAAATCGCCATATATGGCGATTATTTTCATGGCGTTTGGGTTAGGTTAATCCGGACGGCCCTCGAGGACCACAAATGGGCCAATATGGCCCATAGCTATCCGGGGAAATTCCTCGATGGATCTAGAGTCTATTCATGCGGGTTTCGAGATCCTTGAAGATCAGGGTGTTTTTCGCAAAGGCAAGGAGTTCGCCTGGCTTCCTCCTCGAGGCATCTTCTAGCGATGCCAGAACCGGAGAGCCGAGATATCTCATTCTTGCCCTCATTAGGGCCGGACATTTGCAAATGAGATGCTCCATGGTTTCGGTTGCCTCGGATTCATCACATTTCCGGAATTTGGCGTTGTCGGTAATACCAAGCTTGACTGCATGTGCAGCAGACAGGCAGTGACCTGTTAGAATACCTACTAACATTCTGCAGTCCTTCCGCGGAAGATGCAGCACGGAGTGGGTGAGTTTCTCGTTGTTCTCTTTGCACATGATTTTTGATATTCTGCAGGTTGCGGAATTAGCCCGTCTCTCCAGCTCGCTTTGGAGCGATCTTAGGGAGACAGGGACGTTTTTTGCTCTTTCACTCGCCAGTCCGACGCCTTCCTTTGCAAGTTCGTCCGCGGTCTCGTTACCGTCTATGCCTTGGTGGCTGGGAACCCAGTAGATCCTCACTGACTTAGTCGTGCTCAGACTTTCTAGTGACTCCCTGCTAGCCAGTACATTTTCGGATCTTGTCGCCGCTTGACTGTCTACGAACAAATTGAACGCCTCATGTGGACGGTTTATGCTCTGTGCATGGTCTGCTGCTTTCCTGATGGCGAATACTTCTCCCTGCGCGCAGAAAATTATTCGGTCCTACACATATTTTTTTCCTTCAACTTTCCCTCCATTAGGACTGTAAGAATATATAAAATTAATTATTGTGATAGCACGATATCAGCTGTTTACTCTCTTGATCCCTTCAATTTTCGCCGGTATCATTTTCGTCATCACAGTACCCGCACAAACGACGTGGGAAACCAAGAGGCCAACGACACTTCCGCCTACTCTCGTCAAAACTTACTCGGTCGGTATACAAGATGGCTCAATCTGCATTAGACATCGGCCTCCGAAAATTCATTTCCACAACGGACCGTGTTAGCCAGTTCGAATCTAACATCTACACTCCGAGCGGGCCTGAAACAGAGAGATTTTCCCCCGCCATATGGCAGGTTCATCGGGAGCCAATCCGTGCCTGTGGGATAAGGTGGAGAAGAGCTATGAAAGCTGCTACGAACTTCTTTTCGTGTCCGCCGACAGTGCAGCCACCTCGACAGTCCTCGAATCGAAATATATCTACTGCTATTCCGTGTATTCGAGGTGTGTTTTCCAGCTGGAGGACATAATCGTCAAGGCCGCCTTCCAGTCCATTCAGGCTTCTGTCCTTGTGCGCACACCCCCATCTACGGGTTGTCGATTCCCACCAGTGGACATCGTTTGTTGGTGATCTTCGTGAGCTCGTTAAGTCATTGTATGCACGGATGAATGAAGATCCCGAAGCTCCCATGCCCAACTTTGATGGTGCTGGTCAAAACTCTGAAGTGCATGGATGACCCGACGAGAAAGTGGCAGACGCAAGCGGTCTGCCAGTTGGAGGCGCTGTGGGAGGGAGCCAAGCTGGAGGTGGTGGACCGGGAGCTAATCGCATCCATTCCAAAGGCGAAGGTCGCAATCCAAGGGAACCGGGCGCTGAAACTGGTGCATCGTCAGAATCCGGATACCAACCGCGGACTGAAAG